GCCAGCCGCCTGGCCTGTCAGAGCTGAGAGGGGAGGCTGATTCCCCAAAGCAGGCGGGCTGCCGGCTGCTCAGGTGGGGGCAGGGCTGCTGCCTCCGTGCCGAGAAGGGGGGCAGCCCTCCCTCGCCCTCCCCCACTGCCGCCCCTGCACTAGTGATGGAGGGAGTGAAAAGCAGGAGATTGATAATCAGCCTCATTATTACCAGCATTATATATAATTATAGCAAAACCTCACTCATTTGGATCAATTGAGAGAGAAATCCGTCTAAATTCCTGACAACTTGGCAGATCACTTTTAAATTATAATTTTATTACTTCTAAGTAACACACGTGAGGAGTTGTGTTTCAAGTACCTCAAGCTAATGGTTATTAAGTGGGGATTTTATGAAATCTGCTTTAAAAGACTCTTTTGTAATTAAGACCCCGTTAATATGCTAATGACACTCCTGCTCTGCTTTTCAAATTGCTTGAAAACAGATGCAATTTAAATAGGCTCAAGATTGCAACAATTTCATTTGCTTCGCAAACCTTTGGGGGGGTTATTTCTGTTATTTATTTATTTGTTTGTTTTTGGCCAACGAGCAAACACAAACTAGTTCGTGCCGTGGTGGTTTACCCACGGTTCCGAGCACTAGTGCGTCATAAATGGATCCACAGCCACGTTGCTGTGGGTGACGCCAGGCTCTGGGGACTTGAAGAGCCACTTCCCTTTACAGAAAATGACCCCACATGCCGAAACCGGTTTGGCTCGGTGGATAGGGCGTCAGCCTGCGGACTGAAGGGTCCTAAGTTCGATTCCAGTCAAGGGCATGTATATTGGTTGCGGGCACATCCCCGGTGGGGGGGGGGGGGGGAGGAGGCAGGAGGCAGCTGATCGATGATTCCCTCTCATCAATGTTTCTAACTATTTAACCCTCTTTCTTCCTTTCTGTAAAAAATCAATAAAATATATTTAAAGAAAGAAAGAGAGAGAGAGAGAGAGGGAGGGAGAGAGAGAGAGAGAGAGAGAGAGAGAGAGAGAGAGAGAGAGAGAGAGAGAAGGAAGGAAGGAAGGAAGGAAGGAAGGAAGGAAGGAAGGAAGGAAGGAAGGAAGGAAGGAAGGAAGGAAGGAAACGACCCCACGGAGGCCCACTTGCTGGGGGCCACAGAGGACACAGCTTCTCACCATGAGCGCCGCCTCACCCTCGCTCAGCCCCTCCGTTCTGTGTTCCCAGTTTCCATATTCTCTGGTTCAGTCCAAACGTGTTTGATGAGCGCCTACTCTGTGCCAGGTCCGTGCTGGGCACTTGGCAGGTAGTGGACCCTGCTGGGCACTATGGTCACGTCACTCAAGATTCAGCATCTGGATTCTGAGTGGCTTGCAGCACAGTGGTCAGCGTACGTGCTTTCTGAGCTCAAGATCACACGCCTTTCCGTTTTTAGGTTCAGCTGTGGGGTTCTGGGACCCCATCTGGAGTCTGAGTTGACCGTGAACCCGGACGCTCTGTCTCCCTTGCCGCCTCAGTCACAGCCTGTGGTCAGGGGACCGGGGGCCTGTAGGCCGTGGGGGTTGGAGGTCGCAGGTCACGGCTGTCTTCCTGCCAGCTCTCGTGAGGGACGGGGTGAGCTGTTCAGACAGAACTCCAGGAGCTGGTGCGGAACCCTCATCTTCCTCACTGCCCTGGGTCCGCGCCTGTGAGCGCGCAGCCCCACACGTCAGAACCAGACCGCCTCCTCAGAGAAAAACCTAAAACAGAATTCTAGCGGAATTTAGCACCAGGGTCTCCCAGAGGAAGACCAGGCCAGAGAGGCCGCCAGAGGCAGCTCAGCGGAGCGCAGACTCTGCGGCCAAGGGCCTGGTCCCACTCCGGCCATGCCCTCTGCCAGCTCCGAGGCCTGGCGATGCCTATGCCCTGATCTGCAGGGGAGCACGAAGGGGGGCTCAGAGGGCCGCGAGGTAAGTGGCGGACCGGCCGGCACTTGCAGGGGTGGCGTGAGAAGAGATGAGAACCTCCCCGCCCACCCGCCTGCGGATTACCGCACGATTGGATGTGTATTACGGGCTCGGTGTGCCATCTTCTTAGAGGTGACTACTGTCTCCGTAGACAAACAAGTCTCGTCCCGAGCAGCTGGCCAGCTGGGACTTGGTGTTGAAGACAGGGTTCTCGCCTCGTTGCAGGGCAGGCGGAGTGGGGAGAGGGGGCCTCTGTGGGGCCACTGCCACGGGCCAGCCCCTCCCTTCAGCCAACCCGAGTCCGGGTCACTTCACTGCAGGACGATGGTCTGACAGTGGTGAGCGCAGCCCGCACACAGATTCCAGGAGCTGCTTCCTGAGGCTGATCTGCTTCCCCCAAAGCCCCACGGTAAGCCCAGGCGCCGGGGCTCCCCCGCTGCATGCGGAGGGCAGGGGCGCACCGACAACGACAACGTCCCGCCCCACAGCTTCGGCCTGGAGCCACGGGGTGGGCGGCTGCAGTGCCCCCTCCCAGCCTGGGCGTGCCCATCCCGCAGCCGCCCTGCAGGCCCTCCCCGAGGGCAGACCCGGGGCGCCACGGCCTGTCCCTGTCCCAGCAGCCTCTTCCCGCCGAGCAAACACAACACAGCAGGGCGACAAAATGAGACAAACCACTGCTCCCCGCCAGCCAGGAGGCGGCAGCGTGGTGTCAGAGGGGCAACTAACCAACCTGCAAGCCTCTCCTCCAGCTCTGCCAGCACCTCGTCCTCCCCGCTGCCCGGCCAGCCTTGCCTCTGTCTCAAACCGAACGCACCAAATCCCGCAGTTCCCTCAACCAGGACCGTCCCCGCCAGCCAGTCTCCGCGCACTTCCTTCTGCCTCCCCCGACTCCTAGTTCCCTCTGCTACAGAGACGTTTGGTTTTTAAAGTTAATTTGCATGTTAGCACTTAAGTAAAACGGAGGGAATGAGCATATTCACTTGTATTAAGTGCCCCATGCGGGCCGTGCTGCAGCAGCTGCTTTTCCGGCGTTAGCTTATGGATTCTCTCAGCAATGTCCTAAGGGCGGGATTACAAGCTCCATTTTACAGAGGACACTGAGGCTCAGAGGGGTTCAATGTCCTGCTTACGCTCACACGGCTAGTCAGTGAAAACTACCGTAGGAACCAAACTCAGTTCCTTCCCTCCTTCCCTTCTTCCATCCTCCCTCCTTCCCTCCTTCCCTTCTTCCCTCCTTTCCTCCCTCCTTCCTTCCCTCCCTCATCTCCATTCTCTCCCAAATTCCTCCTCCTTCAACCCTTTATTCACCCCAATTGTCGCCACGGGTCTCCTTGGCTGTCAGGAGGCCAGGGCCTCACAGACTTGGGGGACCAGGGTCTCAGGGTTGCCATGCTCTTCAGACCCCGAACATGGAGGCAACGGAGAAAGGGCTGCTGGGCCATGGATGGGCCCAGGATGGGCGCTGAGAAGGCGGTTCACACCCAGGCCAGCGACCAGCTGTGAACTAGAGGTCGGATGTCCAGGCCCAGGCTTGGCCACCACGCTCACTGGCCATCACAGACTGGCCCCAGTAACCCCAACTCAGCCTCTTCCAGGATCACCGCCACCCCCACATCCCTGCCCAGGGGCCACCCCCACACCCCTGCCCAGGGGCCACCCCCACACCCCCTGCCCAGGGGCCACTCCCACACCCCCTGCCCAGGAGCCACCCCCACACCCCTGCCCAGGGGTAACCCCCACACGCCCTGCCCAGGGGCCACCCCTACATCATTACATGATCTGCATGATGAGCCCACCCATCCCTGCATGAAGGGGCCACGACCGTGTTGCATACACATCTGTATCCCGGCACCTGACAGCACGCGGCTCGGAACCAGCACTGTACCACTGTCACACACACACTGTACCCCCAAATGGACGGACAGCCTCGGCCTGACACCCCCAGAGGGACCACAGCACCGCGCGTGCCCAGCACAGCCCAGAGTGCCCTGCCCAGCGCCGCGTGGGCGAGCTACCTGCCTGCCCGCACGGAGTCAGGAGAGCAGAGCTTTTCCTTCTAAGACCTGAGAAAAACTTCTGCTCTGTCCTGCCTGCCAGCAGGCCAGGCAGGACAGCAGCTCCCGGGCCTGGGCGGCGCGGCCCCCACAGCTGACCCAGCTGGTCAGCTGTCCCTTCCATTCTCTCTGGCGGGCGCCTGTCACGGAACCCGGGGCCAGGGGGAGTATGGCTGGGTGATGGTCGCCAGCCAGCCGACCCAGGGAAGTGATGGCGGTGACCCTGCCAGGAATGGGGGCGGGGGGGCCAACAAGGGGGTGGCCAGGGCTTTTAGCAAAACAAAAGGCAAGAACACAGAAGGGACAGCACTGTGCAAGTCAAAGCGTTGTGTTTGCTTGTAAAATCTACTTTTAATGCAGCAGGCTCTTGTTCAGAAGTGTCCCTGAGACCCTTAGCAGAGCGGTCCCTCCCTCTCCCCTCTCCTCACTGCGAGCTAAGTCATCTTTAACTCTCCACTTCACACACTCACACACACACACACACACACACACTCACACACTCACACTCACACACACACTCACACTCACACACACACACACACACACTCACACTCACACACACTCACACACTCACACTCACACACAACACATACACACTCACACACTCACACTCACACACACACTCACACACTCACACACACTCACACACATACACACACTCACACACATACACACAAACTCACACTCACACACACACACTCACTCTCACACACACACATTCTCACACTGTCATGCACACACACACACACACACACACACACGTACATGCTGCTGCAACAGTGCACAGCTTCCTGCTGGCCTCCCATGTGCAGACCCGTACACACTCCTCCGTGCTCTCACTCGGAGGTGCAAAAGCACTGTCACCACGGCTGTCTCTCCCCTCCCTCGTGCACACACACACTGACACACAAGCACAGTGCACACGCGTGTGCACAGAAAGGATTCAGTACTAATCCCGTTAGCGGTCCCGGTGTCCCTCCCTCTCCCAGGACAGTCCGGAGGTGCCACACTCACCGCCGAAGCTGGTGGGGAACTTCATGAAGTGAGGGTAATTCCCGTACATGTCTGCTCTTCAGCTCATAGTCCTCGCCGTCTCTGACGATCGCGGCCCCAGCCCCAGGCAGCGCCGTGCCCTTCACCGTGGGCGCCCGAGAGTGGTCATCGCCACCCCGCAGCCGGCTGCGCGGGCTGGGCCGGCCCCCGGGGATTAGCCAGGAATCCGCCTCTCCGCTGGGGCGGCCGCATAGCGCTGAGCCGGCAGCTGGTGCCTGTCAGTAATCACGCATGATGCCTCCGCTGCTGCCTCGCCGCCGCCTCTGCCACTGAGATCCGGTGCTGTTTGATTAACTCCCGGCTGCGGCTGCTCCCCGCGCCCACGGCCCCAGGGGTCCTCCTGGTGGCACGATCTGTTATCCGGGAAGCGATCGATGTGTGACCGCCCCACAGGAGGTCAGGAGAGAGGGGGAGGTGGCCGGGGGCGGGAGACTCTTTAGGCGCCTTTTCCTGGACTTGCACCCACAAAAATCAATGGGTTTTATTAAAATGCACTTTCTCAGTCCGGCCGCTCTGTGTCCTGTGCACTTGCTGCGGGACCTGAGCGTGGCTGTGGGAGGGGCAGCACTGAGCGCGGGGCTAGGGCAGCCCTGGGTCCGGAGGGCTCCCCTGGGCGGCCGGGGCGCTGGCTCTCACGGGGGAGAGAGACCGGTGCAGCGGGGAGCCCCGCTCCCATCACAGAGAGGGCGGCATGCTGCCCCCGCACTCGGGCCATTCGCTGGCCTTTCGCTGGAGGGGGCCCTCACCTCCATCCCGACAAAGCGCCTGAGTCCTCCCGGATGCAGACCCTCCCTGGGCGGAACCCACCCACAAATCAAGCTCAGGTCCCCTTTGAGGTCCGGCCACGGTTCAGCCTACACCTGAACACCCTCAAGGAGGGGCTTCCTCCTCTCCCACCCCATTTCCCGCCGTTCTCACCATGAGAAAGGGTTTTGTGGAGCTGACATCGCCCCCCCACCCCCTGCAGCTCCTGCCCACAGGTTCCAGGCGCCTCCCTGGAGCCACGCAAGAGACGTCGAGGGCTGTCACGGCGGATCTTCTGCAAATTCAGACACAAACCTGCGCCCACAGTCTATGCCTCCTGGCAGGTCACCTCTTCCAGCCCATGGTCCCGAGCACCAGCACGCATTGCCGACCTCTCCTTTCCCAGCGCTGCTGGAATTCACAGAGCTGCCCCGGGAAGCAGGTCCCCTGCTTGGATGCAACACCCTCCTCCTGGTGCTGTGTGGGCAGGGCCCTGGGGGTGCTGTCAGGCCCCGAGGGGTCCGCTGAGCCCTGACACTGGACCAAGGATCCGAGGGTTTCTCCCGCACAGCCTTGGACAGAGCAAGCGAGGAGGGAGGTCAAGTCAGGGCCCCAGGGGAGAAAACCAAGACTCCGGGCTGGAGGAGCAGGAACAGAGGAGGAAAGAGCCAGAGCAGGAACGGCGTGGGGGCATCAGCCCCACAGTTAACTCCCGTCAAGCGAACCTGACAGCCCAGGTCCTTCTCCTTATCCACAGCTGCACCCCATTCCTGGGCGGGGGCTCGGAGGCCAGCAGGCACCTCCCTCACTCTCTGCCATGAAATCCGGTCCACGCCCTCTCTCCGTCGTGGGGACCCCGCTGCTTTCGCCCAGTCTGTCTCTTATGCCTCCTCATCCCATGGCTTCTGAGGACCCCGAGCGCCTCCATAGTTCATCTGACTCCTGGGTGCAAATGCCGAAAAGGACACAGCAAAGTCCAAGTCTTAGAGCCACTACTGATACGTCCACTCGCCAGTGCCGGGCCCCGTCCCGCCACGTTCCCTGGCCTGGCTTGATCTGGAGAGGTTGGGTCCGTAGAGAAAGCATCAGCACGGAAGCCAGCGGCTGGACGCAAGTCCCAGGTCACCGCTGACCACCTCACCATACTCCAGTTCCCCGGTCCCTGGGCCGCGGCTACTGCATGGTTTGTCATGAGGATCAAATAAGCCACACATTTAACACCCAGAATACACCAGAGGCACGGCAGGTGCGTACATCTCTCTCCATGGTGACGATGGTGCTGACATATGCTCCTTCTCTCCTTTTGCTCATTTGTAAAATGTCCTCCGAGCAGGGCTGGATGACTCTAGAGCAGTGGTTCTCAACCTTCCTCATGCCGCAACCCTTTAATACAGTTCCTCCTGCTGTGGTGACCCCAACCATAAAATTATTCTCGTGGCTACTTCATAACTCTACAACAGTGGTTCTAAGCCTGTGTGTCGTGGAAAACACAGATATCTGCATTACGATTCATTAACAGTAGCAGAGTTACAGTTGTGAAGTAGCAAGGAAAATAACATTACGGTTGGGGGTCACCACAACATGAGGAGCCGTATTAAAGGGCCGAGGCATGAGGAAGGTGGAGAACCACTGGGACCTCCACTTCAACTCCAATGAATCCAGCCCCCGGGGCAGAGCGGTCATTCTCCCCACGGAGGTCTCAGGAACACGAGTCTTACTGACCCACAAACCACATTTCCCATCGCACACCCGGCAGAGGAGGAGGCACGCCGTCTGCACACTTGGCCTTTCAGTGAACCGGCTCCCCAAGTGCTCTTCCGAGGACTCCAAACCATCCTCTAAACAGCGCTCTCCGGCCCCGTCCAAGGTCAAGGTCACGCTGGCCTGCAGGTGGTGGGCTCGGTCTTCCTCCCTTTGATCGGTGAATGGAGAGCAGATTCCTCGGCCTGGCGTGGAGACACCTCATGTCCTGGCATCTCTGGAAAGTGCTCTGGGACAGCCACCCCCAGGCCCACGGACACACGGCTCCGCCTCGCCAGCCTGTGACCTTGGACAGCGAGCTCACTCTCCGCGGAAGCACCCAGGCGGCGGCCTCACTGAGCTTCCTGGGTTTGTTTTGGTTTTGGACTCAGACGGGACGATGGCTGTGCATGTGTTTTGCTTGGGGGTGGTTTGCGGTTTTTGTTTCTCTTAGACCGTAAGGAAGTCCTACTTCCTTGGTCCTCTCTTCCCTTTCTCTGTCAGTCCCTTCTGGTCTGGATGCTTCGCTCACGGTGGGAGTACTGTTGGCTTACTCCAACTTCTGGTTCACTGTTCATGCCATTGACCTTGGCCCACCTGTGCCTCCACTTCAATTGTTTTCCCACGTAAGTGCTAGAAGCACGAGTAGGTGCTCAACAAATGCTTTTTCGTTAGGAAATGCTCGATGTGCTTATCCCAGGGCCTCCCTTGACACCTTCTGCCTGGCCTCACAGCCCAGAACAACCGCGACCATTGCCAACGGCCAGGCAGTCTGACGGCGGCTTTGGCCTCTAATCCACACTTTCGGCACGGCTCCGCCGTGTCTTTCCCGGCCCATTGTTGACATAACAACGTGATCCTCCCAGAAGCGATTCCCAGGCAGCCCCGGCGTCAGTCACTCGCTGTCTCCAGCTGTTCCTGAATTCTCATGCGGTGTCAACCGACAGGCTGAACACACATGGTCCCCAGTGGGAAGAGCCTGTTCACTTCCAAGGATGCTGGGCTCCTGTCTGTGGGGTCCTCCAAAGACCAGTCCTCTCTGTGGACGCCATCCGCATCCGGTGAGCACAGAGGTCTGCCTGCATCTTCGCCGGTGTGCTCGACGCAGGGGCAGCCTGATGCGTTACCCTGGTAACTGTGACTTCGCCGCTGGTCCTGCTCCTGGTTCATTGTCTCGCTTTGAACCAGGAATGATAGAAAATAATGTTTTGCAGCAAACGTGAAGGAAAAGCAGAGTCCTTGATTTGATCACGGCCAGCAGGCATTAGGTGCAATACCTCACGGCATTGACTCGGACTCCGGGTCTCCACGGGGAGGTACTCTGCCTGGCACCGGGACTCGGGGCTGGATGGTTTCCCCAAACACTGAACTTCAGCCGGGCAGACGGAGCAGCTCATATTACAGACGAGGAATTAGCGACCAGGCTGTGAGGGCGGAGAAGGGAAGAGGCTACTCAGCCAAACGCAACTTAGGCTGTGGTCTCTCCCAACAGAAATGAGTCTGAACGCCGGGCCCCATGGCTCTCAGCACTGTGTCTGTCACCAAGCAGGGATCCTTCTGTTATCAATGTGTTTCTATTATATATGTGTGTGCCGGGGGTCTATACATCACTTTTCCTCTTTCTGGCATTCATCCATTCATTCATTCATTCATTCATCATTCAGCCAACACTTACGGAGAGCTTTTTGCATATCAGTCCCTGGGGACAGGCTAAGGGACCATACACACCAGCCCTGGCCTCAGGGAGCGTGTGTGGTTGGGGAGGAGATGGACAGCAGCCCACAGGCACAGGCACACATACATCACCATAAGCCATGAGTGCCGGGAAGGAAAATAACTGGATGAGACGAGAGGCTGTGGCAGGGAATCTGATTTGAATGGAAAGGTCAAGGCAGACTCCTTTGAGGAAATGACAGTTATGCTCAGAGTGAAAGGATGAGTAGGACTGAGTTTGACCAGCACGTGAGGGGCGGACGAAGCCGGGAAGCGTGGTTTTCAGAGGCACAGAGTTGACTGGCCCGGTGGACACAGAATTGTGGTGAGACCATGGCCCCAGCAGCTGCTGACAGCGCCATCTTCTGGAGGGGAGACCTGAACATTTGCTGCCTCCTCCCCCTCCCAACGCACCGAGATCTCCCCTCTGCAGGCTGTCAGGCCCTCTGCACCTCTGCCTGGTCCACTCCCCCTCAGACTCAGTTGGTTCCTGATCTGGGGGTAACTGCTCATGTCCGTGCCTTCTCTTAGGACGAATGACCCTCTTCATGCCCCAGGAACCACAGGCTCCGAACCAGGAGAGACCTTCTCTCAGCCCCGGGAGCTCTGCCGAATACATGACTGTGACCACTCTGCCATGCCATGCCGGCAGTGGTAGCTCCCTCGACGCAGAAGGGACCCAGCTGGCTCGTGGCAGTGAAAGCCCTGAATGCCACATAGGCTTCCCGGGCCATATGGGCTGAATCAGGAGCTGTGCCGGGCCAGGGAGGCAGCGCTGGAGGCCCGGGCAGCAATGGGTGTTTGCTGTGGCAC